AGTTTGTAGGTGTTCAGAATGGTTTGATCCCTATCCAGCTGAATTCCTGAGAGGAGACGAAATCCAGGTCTCCTACTCCTCCGCCATCTTGCTCCGCCCTCCATTTTTTGTTCATTCTAAGTGTACTCCTTAACTCCCATCTCCCTCCCCTTTCCGTCCAGTGACCAGCAGTGTGTTCTCTGTAGTTCAGTCTGTTTCCTGGTTTCTCTCTCTCTCTTTTTTCCTTTGTTTTGTTTCTTAAACTCCACATATGAGTGAGATCCTGTGGTCTTTGTCCTTCTCTGACATTTCACTCAGCATGGCTCCATCCACGTCATTGAAAATGGCAAGATTTCATTCTTTTTTATGGCTGAGTAATATTCCGGGGTGTGTGTGTGTGTGCGCGTGCGTGCACACGTACGTACATACATGTGTACACATACATCTTCTTTATCCATTCATGAGTCAGTTGATGCTTGGGCTGCTTCCATAATTTGGCTATTATAGATAATGCTGCAATAAACATAGGGGTGCATGTACCCCTTTGAATTAGTGTTTCTGTATTCTTTTGAGTAGATACCCAGTAGTGGGATTGCTGGATCGTAGGGTAGTTCTATTTTTAACTTTCTAAGGAACCACCATACTGTTTGCAAAGTGGCTGCACCAGCTTGCATTCCCACCAACAGTGCACAGGGTTCCTTTTTCTCCACATCCTCGCCAGCACTTGTTTCTTGTGGGGTTTTTTTTTAAGTTTTTTGTTGTTGTTGTTGTTATTTAATTAATCTCCAACACCCTATGTGGGGTTCAAACTCACAACCCCAAGATCAAGAATTGCGCAATCCTCCAACTGAGCCATCCAGGTGCTCCTCTTGTGTTGTTGAGTTTAGCCATTCTGACAGGTGCAAGGTGATATCTCATTGTAGTTTTGATTTGCATTTCCCTGATGATCAGTGATGTTGAGCATCTTTTCATGTATCTGTTGGCCATGTGTATGTCTTTGGAGAAATGGCTGTTCATACCTTCTGCCTATTTTGTAATTGGGTTATTTGTTTTTTGGGGTATTGAGTTTGATGAGTTCTTTATATATTTTGGATACTAACCCTTTATCAGAGATGTCATTTGCAAATATCTTCTCCCATTCAGTAGGTTGCCTTTTAGTTTTGTTGATTGTTTCCTTCATTGTGCAGAAACTTTTAATTTTGATGTTGTCCCAATAGTTCATGTTTGCTTTTGTTCCCCTTGCCTCAGGAGACATGTCTAGTAAGAAGTTGTTAAGGCTGATGTGAAAGAGGTTACTGCCTGTGCTTTGTGCTAGGATTTTTATGGTTTCAAAAGGTCTCACATTTAGGTCTTTCATGCACTTTGAATTTTTGTGTGTGGTGTAAGAAAGTGGTCCAGTTTCGTTCTTCTGCATATGGATGTCCAGTTTTCCCAAACCATTTGCTGAAGAGTCTTTTTCCCATTAGATATTCTTTTCTGTTTTGCCGAAGATTGATTATATAGTTGTGGGTTTATTTCTGGGTTTTCTGTTCTATTCTTTGTTCTTTGTGTCTGTTTTTGTGCCAGTACTATGTTGTTTTAGTCATTCCTGTTTTGTAATATAACTTGAAATCTGGAAATGTGATGCCTCCGGTTTTGTTTTTCCTTTTCAAGATTGCTTTGGCTGTTCAGGGTCTCTTGTGGCTCCATAGATTCTTTGTTGTAGTTCTATGAAAAATGCTGTTGGTATTTTGATAGGGATTGAATGAAATGTGTAGATTGCTTTGGGTCATATGGACATTTCAGCAATATTTGTCTTGGTCCTTCATTACTTATGGTAATGCTCAGATTGTTCCAGACCCAGCCAGTGGGAGTCCTTCTGACAAGACCCCATAATTGTTTGGATTCTTATGCTTTCTTCCTTTGTGGTACAACTCCATGTTCCAGATTTATCGCCTATATTCCTTGACCCAGCCTTGAAGTCTGCCATTTCTCTAAGGAGCACTGATTCTTTTAAGGGAAGAATAGCATTTGGAGTCAGTATCTGGGCATTGGGTGAACTCCATGCCACTGGGTGTCACTGCCTCTCGGCCCTCCCAGCGGAGCCAGGAAGTCTGTGGATATGTCTATAAAACTGGAGTGGGTGCACACGCATCCCCAGGTCCAGTCCAGCACCAGGAGGCTTGTCCTTTGCCAGAGGAGCAGCGCTCCCCCCCACCCCGTGTGTCAGAAAGCCGGCTCCCATCATCCCAGATGCCTCCGCCAGCCTGAGGAATTCCCACTCCTGGCCTACAGCTCAGCCCTCGCCCAGCCCCCTCTTCACGGCCTGGGGCACTGACCCAGAGCTGGTCCCCAAACACACCGCCTCCCTCAACCCTCTACACTCGCAGCAGGAGCCGGTTCAAAGGAGGCAGTCCTTACTATACGTTGGAGAGTCCCAGCGTGTAAGGGGAGGGGAAATGTTGCCTTTCCGTCACGATCCTTCCAACTAACGGGACAAGCAAAACACTGATAAAAGCACACAAATCAACATCAGGTCAACAGGCCACGTAGCGGCACAGGTGTTCAGACCTCGTTTTGAGGGCAGCGGGCCTCGTCAGGAAGGTCAGGATCTTTTTCTTAAGGAAGCGATGCTGGCCTCTTGTGCAAGGTGTGCACGGCTAGACTAATACGTGTGTCGGTTCTCAGCGTTCGCCTAGATTTGTTTCAGAGTTCGCATATGTCAACACTTCCGAGAAGTCCAGAGTATCTGTCACGTGATAAATGTCACTTGGCAAAGCCACGAATGTTGAATTACTAACAGGAAACATGGGAAGGGGTTTGTGGCCGTCGTCGTGGCAGAGCGTGGTGGCGGAAGCCAGGTCTGCGAGTGTGAGGCCTCAGGGTGGGCAGGCGGCCGGGAGCACACGGCGGGGGGCACGGGGAGCGCGTCTGGAGGTGTGGACAAGGGACAGGACCCCCCGAGGCCTGAGGCCTAGCCTCAGGTAGCAGGGAGGCCCTGAACACTACTTCTAAAAGATAAATAACATCGTGTTTGTGTTTGAGAGCAAACTCTTGGGCTACAGGGTGGGGAATGGACTGGAAACGTGATGGCCAACAGGCTGGCGTGTGAGGCTGGAGTCAAACATATATTCTTCTCTGAGATCGCTGATGGCTCCTATTTTGTACCCTTTACATAGGATTTTAGATTATTTAAAGTAACGGATTTTTATTCCCCATCAAGGATCCTTTGGTTTTCCAAGGTTTTCATAAACGGTTGCCAGGTCTGTCCCCCAAGCCGTGCCACTGTCATCTTTGGTCCAGTTTCCATGCCGCTTTGGTAAGCAGTGGAGTCGGAAAAAATGAAGCATTTTTTTAGGTGCTTGGCCTCCAAAAGTGACCTAAAAATGAATTTTATTTATTTATTTTTTTTTAACCTTGGAAGTTAATTTTGTTTGGCTGATTACATATATACTTTACCTTGACCGGTACTGAAATAAGTCCGGGGTCGATGCAGTAGCATCAAAGCCACAGTGAGCAAAATACCCTCTTGCTCTTTGCTTCCATCTTCTCAGAAGCAACTGCGCCAATCACAGCCTTGGCGGAGCGCGGGGGATGCGGGCTTGTGTGCAGGAGGGAGAGCGAAGGAGCAGCGCTCAGTCCCTCGCAGCTGGAGAACCCGGAGATACCGCGCGGCATCCAGGAGCACACCTGGTGTCTCATGATCCTTATTTATCATGTGGCCACTGTTTACGACAGAAAATAACAAATTTTTTGCAAAGATAAAACTAATCTTCAAGTGAGAAGGTGAACACGGTATAAAATCAGCTTCAGAATAAAGTACCATCAAGATGATCTAGAGCAAAATGTTTTCAAAACCTCAGAAAGCTACCCCGGACAAGCTTTCTGTCCTGGAGAGTCCTGAGGCATTCGGGAGAGATGGGACGTCAGGCCCCATTTCTCTGTAAGGTGAGGAAGCTCTGGGAGGTCCTTCATCCCTGCGGAAATTCAGAGTGTGCAACAGAAAAGCCTGGACTCCACGGCATGTGGCGACAGTGTTGAACGTCTCAGAAAATGTGTTCATTCAAGTGGTTTATTAGTAAATTAAGTCAGAGCTAAAGATTTATATTTACATGTTTTAGTGGGCTCGTTAAAAGAGTTCTTCTCTGGGGTGTTTCTTTGAAGATACGTTGCCGTGCATTTTGAACGAAGAATTGAAATAAGATTTGAGTTGTTTTGAGATCCAGGGGAGGTGGGCACTGTACTTTTACAAAGGAAATAGCAAGTACTGGTCAGACATGGTGTTGCTGGTGCAAGGAGGAACATCAAGGTGTGCGCTGGAAACCTCCAGAACCCTTCAGACAGAAGCAGGGTCCGCATCACGAAGCGGGGCGGAGCGAAGGAATGTCTTCTCGTGACGCACTGCGGCGGCCGGTCGGGCCTGTGACGGGTGGGCCTGTCCTGTGGGCAGCGCAGGGCCGGCCGGCTGCCTCTCCCTGCCGCGCCTGGGGCTCGCTCCGCAGCTCTCGTGACACTCCACGGGACGCGCAGGTATCATCTCCAAAAGTTCTAGATACATTTGGACTGGAGGTGGCATTTTTAGAGGGAGTGTCTGCATCCCCAAGGTAACTGCCTCAGATCGGGTGAGAGTCCTGTGTCTGTGCTTTAGTCTGCTGTTGGCCACTGTATGGACATAAAGCATTGGTTATAAAGTGCTTTGCCTTCGAAACAAACCTTAAGTCCCGTTGTTCGTGACGCCCCGGAGCCATCAGTTTGAGCTGCGAAAGCTCATTCAGAAGTAGGACCGCCTACCGCTGATGGTGCCTGGTCCTGTAGTTCAGGGACTGGGATGCGCTTCTTGCTGTGCTTAGTGGATTGGGAGTCGTTCTGGGCAGACGCCCTTTCTGTAGTAATGGTTATTTCAAAATCTTCCAGAGCGTCCTGAGGAAAGGAGGCCATACGGAAATTGACCTGCAGCATTTCTGTCAAGCCTTTCACAGAGAGAATGACACGCTGCTAGTCATCATCAGAAATGAAGATATAGCATCGCACCTGCATCAAGTACGTCTACCCCTCTGTTCCTTATCAAAAGTGTCCCGGGCATTTTCGGGGGTGTCCCCAGGGGGTGTCCCGCAGGCAGCGCACTTAGCGAGGCATTTGTGGGGCATGAGCCACGAACGGGGGGGGGGGGGGGAGGAGAGGGCCTATGGGGACATTCCCTCAGCCGAGATCGAAACCTGCATCTTTTAATGCCTGACAGTAGTAAATCTTGCTTTAAAAGGACTTGTGAAAGTTTCCTTGAGTCTTTGTTTCGCTATTTCTGTTGAATAAAAGGAGTTGCCTGCCCCACGGCCCAGGCCGGCTGCAGGGCTGCCGACGGGCGGGGGGCGGGGGCGGAGGTGAACGGCCGTGTGAGCCTGTCGCCTGCTTCACCACATTACGGGCCCCCACAGCTGAGTGGTGCTCTCCCCTCGCCCACGGTCTCCAGCTTGTGCAGTTTCAGAGACCACTTTGTAACGGAGTGCTGAGGAGTTTGCGGCGTGTGTGATGAACGGAGTCTGTGTTCCTTATGAGAAACGCTGGGGGGCTTTTGATAGGTGTTGCAGAATTCCCAGTCACCAAGGTTAAGTGTATTTTCTGCTTCCCTGAATCTTGAAACCCTTGGATAAAAGTGACCCCACCAACCTCTCTTCCCCGGGGATCCTTTTGTGTTCACTAGATTCCCTCTTTGCTGAAGCTGAAGCACTTCCCCAGCGTCCTCTTCGCTGGAGTGGACGGCCCCGAAGATGTGTTGGAGTACACCTACCAAGAGCTATTTCAGACGGGAGGCTTTGTGGTCTCGGATGACAAGATCCTAGAAACCGTAACGTTAGGTCAGTCTTCTCTTTTCCTTCCTTGTTTCTGTCTTTAAAATCTAGTCAAATCCATTTCTCTTTACCCAGTGACCCAAATACTACTACATCGAAAAGAAATTAAGTCAAAGTAATATCAACCACCACCTTTTGAGGCCTTTGTTTTTGCAATTTGCCTGTGGATTGCTGTCGTTCTCGTTCCCAGGGCATGTGCCCTGGGCCTCCCGGGTGTCACCTGGTTATCTTCAGCACCCACCCCGCTTCTCCGTTCCTTGTCTCCCACACTTGCCCAGCAGCCCTCTCTTCTCTGTGTCTCTTGTCATCGCCCCTGCCATCTCGATGATGTTCTGGAAATCAGAAACATAGCTCTTAAAAGTCTTCTTAATTATGTGCGGAACACTCCTAATTCCCTTCTCTCTGGGCAGTGATTAGACGGAGAAGGATGTTAGAACAGCGCTGGGCGGGAGCTAAGGAGCAGAAACTGCCCCCGCTGATGTCACATTAGAGCTCACTGTAGACGCCACTCCTGGCTCAGAAAAGGGGGGAAACCCCCACAAGCATGAGTTCTGTGTGTAGACCGGAGTTGAGAGGAGTTGCAAGCTAGACCAGTGTTTTGTCGCCACTGGACTTCCCTCTTGTCGAGTGCATGTGACAGGTGTCGGGGGGGGGGCGAGGGTAATGGGCAGCAGGCCTGGGGGGGGGCAGCGGGCGGGGGAGAGGGCGCGCCGGCGTCTGCCTCCCCACAAGTCACAGTTCCCGGCCTTCGATTAGACCTTCTTTTCTGTCTGTAGCTCAGCTGAAGGACATGGTCAGGGCCCTGCAGAAGCTGAACGGAAACGGGAGGTGGAAATGGCTGCTTCACTACAGGGAAAACAAAAGGCTAAGAGAAAACGTCAGGTGAGGCCTCGGGGCACGGGGGGGGCGCGGCTGCAGGTGCACGGCTGGGTTCTGAGGTTCTGGCGGTTGCCGGCGCAGGGCTGGCAGGGAAGGCAGGTGGGCTGGAACCGCCACTGCTAGTTTGAGGCCCAGATTCTGAGTAGCACTCGAGGCTGATGGAAGTGAGTTGCGGGAGTCCCGAAATGTCCGTTTAGTGAAGTTCAGGCTCTACCGCCATGAACTGCAGGCTTGGGCTTGCGGCACCAATATCCGCACCCATATCCGCACCCGTATTCACGTGTTTGTTCGGGTATCAAGTTGTCACAGTTACAAGGATGGAAACATTGAGACCAGAATGCTTTACCCCTCAACAGCAGACTATAAATAGGCAAGCGGACTGTAAATAGGCAACGTACAGTTGGGGTTTTCCAAAGTATTTTTTTTAATTGATTCCCTGGCTGAAGGGCCCCGGGGTGTGTGGGTGCCCCCGGCTGCGGTGAGGCCGGGACGGCAGTGGACACGGTGTGGAGCCGCGAGGAGACTCAAGAAGCCTCCCCGCCCCCGCCTGCAGAGGAGACAGTAAAGACCCACTTTTATGATGTGGAAGTTGAAGCATGGGGACGACAGACCTGATCCAGGTCAGACAAGGAGTTGTGACGCTGGGCTTCAAGCCCAGAATGTTCACCTCTAACATGACTGCTCTCTCCTGTCTCACCGCACTGCTGTCTCCAAGGACAAGCGTAGGCCTGAGCATGCGATCTTGAAAGGGAGGTGGCCAAGAGCACATGTCCAGGAGAGGCTGTACCTAGAACTAGTGCAGGAGGAAAAGTGAGCCAAGAGGTCTGAGTGGACCCCGGAGCTGATGCTGTCAAGTCCAGGAGGGATTTCCCTGGGGCGGGTGGGAGGATGCAGAGGATGGCAGAAGCCAACTGGGAGTTCCTGAGGAGGTGACTAGCCAGCACTTTAAAGGTTCAGGTTCAGAGTAATTAAAGCTCCGAGGTACCACAGCACACCTATAAAACTGGCAAGTATCCATTAATTTTGCATTCAGAGGATTTGGGGTAAACAAATAGGTACACCACTGCTGGCCCTGTAATAGGCCCTTCAGATGGTACCAGTCTCCTGTTTGAGAGCAGGCGTAGGGGGAACTCGTCCGAACATTCATACCCTGTGGCCTCTGGAGACATTTATCTGAAACTAAAAAAAAACCCCTAGCTTTCAAAAACTGCTGTTTCTACAAAGAGGTTTATAGCAGTGGGTGTTTATCAGTAACTACAAAACCACCCTCAGAGCCATCTTTAGGCAAATATGACATCATATGGATTCCATACATATGTAATTTTTTAAAACATGCAAAATAAGGAATATACGTATAAAAGCATGCAGTGTGATGCCAGTCACATAAATCTGTGTACAAAGGGGAAAGCCTGGAAGGAAATGCACCCCATGGCCCGGACAGTGCTTGCCCCTGGAGACGCGGGGGCCTGGAGGAGTTTGCTTTCCTCCAGCAGGTGGGAGAGAGGCTGATAGGATGGGAGAGCGGGTGGAGAGACGCTGACAGGTTAAACATCTTCCACTAAAGTTGGAAGAAAAAAGATAGGCAGTTACAAGAGTCTAAGGGAGGTCAGGGGGCACCCGGGTGGCTCAGTCGGTTAAACGTCAGACTCGAACTCAGCTCTGGTTGTGATCTCAGGGTCATGAGATTGAGCCCCACGTTGGGGTCCGCACTGAGCACAGGATCTGCTGAGCACAGTTTCTCCCTCCCGCTGCCCTTCGTGCTGGTGCACGTGTGCACTCTGTCTCTCTCAAAAGAAATCTTAAGATTTTAAGGGAGGTGAGAAATGACAATTACGTAGCAGCGGGAATTTCCTTAATGAAGCTGTTGATGTGACTAAAAAGCCTGGGGACTATAGAACGGGGTTTGGAAGCCTTGCTGTAGGATAAAGCACGTAGCTAGAGGCCCACTAGAAATGACCAAAGCCTGGCCAAGCAGCGTTGTTACATGAACTTGTCGATGTCCCTCTTGCTTGGAACGAGGCCTGGACTCTGTAAAAACCTGTATTGACAGAGGGAGTCAGCAAGCGTGTGATGTTTTGAGGGAATGGGATGGGAGGACAGTGACGTCTAGAAGGCCAAGTGTGTCATGGGAAAGAACAGAGAAGGGAAAAGGCATCTCAGGAGTTCTGAATGTTTTAACAAGAGGTCCAACTGTTAAGTATTGTGAAGGCAAGAAGTGTAGGAATAAAACAGCTAAAAATTAAGATACAGTGAAAAGTAAACCTGCAAATTTATACTGAATCTAAATTTGGTTTACATTTCCGTCTCTATTCCAGAGTGGATTCAGTTGCACATAAGAAGAACTTAATACTGAAATCCTATCAGAGTGCAGATCTCATCGACCTGCTTCCTTATCACCAGTGTGACTCTCGAGCACCATCAAAAGCAGAACATTTAAAATGTCTGCTAAACCTGCAAATTCAGCACATCCACGCCAGGTTTGCGGTCTTCCTAACAGGTAACTCACAGCCTTCATTCTGGTTACTCTAGAAACGTCCAGGTGCAGACATCGGATGCCGGAGATCTGTGCGCATGTCCACCCGGTGTTTGCCTGCCGTGTCTCAAACACACGGAAGGCCCAGGGCACGGGGTCTCGTGGGTTCGGTCTAGCAAGCCATCCCCTGATGCACTGCTGTTAATCACCGCCTACGCGTACTTAAGTGTTTCAGGTGAATGTTAACCCAGCTTTTTAAAACTCTGTAAGCAAGGACTAGTTGTCACTGGTATTCAGCATCCCCAGCCCCACTCCTGGGGGCTGCTCCCAAAGCTCCACACCTTTCCTCCCTGGAACCTCTCCTCCCGTCCTTGGATTAAGCAGTTCCATTAAAGTTTGTTGTGGTGGTGTTTTTTTTTAATAAAAGGGGTTCTGATTCTTTAAAAGTATACATCAATGAATTTTTCACTAAAAAGCTATTTTTTTCTTCTTTTTACAGAAAAGCCCACTGTCTCCAGAGAAGTCTTTGAAAATAGTGGCATCCTTGTTACAGATGTAAATAACTTCATTGAAAATATACCAAAAATAGCAGCTCCGTTTAAGAGTAGCTATTGGTAAGAACACTTTCCAGAACTCTCCTGTGTGAACGGGACGGGACAGATACTGACATTTGTATTTGTGTCCGGGAGGAAACCAGTTGTTGGCAAACTCTGTTCTTTACCTTCTACATCATGCTGTAAACTTTAAATCTGTACTAGGGGTGGAATTGCTGTTGGTTTGGCCTAAGTGGGAATTTCTGAAGGATCCACCTACTTCAGAGTAACCCATTTCATCTGAATGACACCAGGTGTCACCTGCAGTTCCTCTTGTTCCCAGGACCAAAGATGCATAGAAGTCCCCGTTCGACAGCCTGTTTCTAAAACATTTCTTGGTGGTTCTGTTTAAAGATGAAATTACCAATTTTGTGTTTCTCCAGGTGATCAGCTGGCCTGGACGGTGATGCCACCACCACCAATTCCTAGTTTCCTTTTACTCTGAAAACTTTTTAGATAAAACAGCAGTTTTCTCATTTGAAAAATCAATGTTCTACAACTTGAGAGTTTTCCTTCATTTCTTTACACTTTGCTATAAAATCTTGGCCTTCATTCACAGTGGGACGTGAGCTGTCCACTAGCTTTGGGTTGCAGTGTTCAATATTATTGTTTTAAATTATTTTCATTTTATACAGAGAGCCTTCAAAGGTATTAAGCTCAATGTTAAAAAGATTTTTACGAACACGTTTACTTAGTTGTAGCAAAAATAAGTCTATTTTAACGGATAGCTTTGTTTTTGCATGTTCCTGTCTGAAAGGCGTTCTGTAGTGCATGTTACAGTCGGTCGGAAAGGCTTTACCACCCTCGTGAAAGCTAGGATCCTATGTGGTTGGTTTGCTGTTACTCTGGCAACACTACAGTAAGTTCTTTGTTACAGATTTATAAACTGTCAGTTTCCACTTAGTTTTTATAAATACTGCACTACAAAATCAACCCTCTGAGGAAGAAAATCATTTATTTATGGTATTAGAAATAATTTCTACCGTAATCTTTAAACTCAAAACCAAGCAAAAAAATGTTTGTAGATACATAGTATCTATTTGGAACAAGTTTTTGTAACTAATTTGTTTCATTTTTTTTAAATAAAGACAACTGAAAAATCAACTTTCTGGGATTCCTTTATAGCAAGATTTGAATTTGTGGGAATGTTATGGCAGTTTTTAGGCCATCTGACGGAAATGACTTTGCTTCCACGTCCGTCACTGGCCCCACCGCCCTGCCCCGTGCTTGGCCTCCCGAAGCAGGGCGCGCCGAGCCAGGGCAGACAGGCTTGCACAAGCCTTCCGGCACCTCTCTCCTTGCTACCCAAACAGTCCTGACGTGACATGGTCTCTGGCTTGGAAGCCCGGGCTTCCCGAGAGGACAGTGGCTGCGCGGGGCACGCTGACTTGGAAATGAAATGACTGACGAGTGACTGAGCTCCAGCTGCTCGCTAATCTTTCTTTCCCGAACCCCCCAAAGAGCCCTCCCACGACCCACAAGGCTCGCTCTGTGTCCACAGCCACTTTTCTAGAACTGCTTTTACACGTCACCAAGCCATGGAGTAGCGCACTGTCCACTCCTCCAGGCCGCCCTCGCCATCCCCGTTCCCCACTGGCCTGGCACCTGAGTATTACAGGTGTTCAATACGCACCTTAAGTGAAGATTCTGAAAAGCTCCTGATACTCTATGAATTTCTAGCCCAGCGTGCACCTCTGCCTGCATCACTAGCTGACGAAGAATTAATTAGGGGAAGGAAAGACTTGCTAGGATTTTAGATCCTCTCACCATGTAGACAGAGCAGTGGTTTCTCAACTAGGGTCGCTCTGTGCCTCAGGAGAGGTGTCAAGAACATCACGTGGGGGCTACTCACAGCGAAGCCAGACGATCCGTCCAGATTGGGGTGGAGCACACCCTTCTACGCGGCGTCCGTCAGCTGCACGGGAGGGAGGGAGTGAGCCACTGCGCCGGCGCCAGGACGACACGCACGAGTTCGTAACACCAGGACACAAACAGACCAATCGAGAAGGAACTGGTTTCCAGAGTCTGGCTTTATTTTGCAGTACAGAAATCATGTGGAGCCATTCGAGACAGACATCACTGAAGTGCAGGCTCTGTCAAATCAATACTGCATCGCAGCTTGGTCCAGTCAAGAAGCCACACCTGGGATACAAAAGAAGCTTCTACGTTTACCTGCTTTACCACAGGTTTCTTTCCCCCTTGCTCATCAATTTTATCAGGTTAGAACACCGCACACAGGCTTCCTCCAAAATGACTCTCAGGTCTGCAGTTGGGTTAGAACTGTAGGCCCACGGAACCCCAACGTGTGGCTGTGTTCCGTGGGCATGGTCATAACAGCTGACAGGACACACGAAATGTCCCAAGTCATGGAATATTCGGTTGGAATCTCAACGCCAAGGGGAGAGACAGCACGTGAATGGTGCTGCTCCGGCCGCGGAGGGGACGCTGATTAAAAGATACAAATACTGTATCAGGTGCTCCGTTATCAGGACCACAGGATTTTCTTAAAACTGATCCTTCACTGGGGAAAAAAGCCAGTATCGGTTACATTGAACAGAATGTGGTGACCTGCCTGTTGTGAAGAGCTGCTCCACGGAAACGAGTTACTACATGATAGGAGAGAGGGGAGGAGTAGTTACTGGGACAGTGCTCTGCAATCTCCGTTTGGATTGCGAAGCAGGCCTTACGATAGTGACTGCACACAGTACGCGGCATTCGCCAGAGTTAAGTCTGTCCTAACAAGACGCGCGCGCGCGCTGCGGTTAATCTTCCCCATAGATGTCGTTCTTCTTGCGCTTCATTTCCTCAAAGTCAAACTCGGACCCGGTCATCCTCTTGTAGATGTCTTTGATGTCGTCACAGGTGGTCTCAAAGTGAGTGGTAGCATCGTATGTGCGGGAAATAAAGATCTGGAATGAAATCACAAAGACAGATTTGAGGCGGGACGTCTCCCGACGACCCCTGCGCCCCATGCCCTCCCGGGACCGGCGCACTCACCTGGCTTTCTGTTCCCAGGTCTTTTGGTACGAGGAGGTCACTGATGCTAACAAATCTGGAGGGAAAGAATGAAGTCAGCAGGTGAGCTGACCCCAAGGCCACACTCACAGCTTTGCCGCAGTTCCAAGCCCACAGCGTGAGACGGGCGGGCACGATGCCGCACGGCCGGCTCCCAGCGCTCACCCCGCCACGAAGTCAGACCTCGTCTTGCCTTTGAGCTCATCTACATGAACACATCACTCACTTCTGTTCAATTGGTTCCAAAAGCTCCAAAGCTGGTCTGATTTCTTTCTCCGGCTCCTTGGTCTCCACAGTGGTGCTGACTATGGCGATGTACTTTCCCTGTGCGGCCACGTTGTGCGCGGAGGAGATCATGCAGACATAGATATCTGCGAACAAGGAGTGTCATCTCACTGCCCAGGCTCACGAACCTTCCACCCAGATCGCATCGAGGTGTGACTTAAAATCACTGGCAATAGACCCAGTCTTCTAAGCTTCAGTTCTAAATGGAGGCAGCCTAGGTCCTGCGTAAAGCATGCCCGAGTCCAGTGACTTCTAGCCTACGGAGACTACGGTCTCTGTAGCCGGGAGCTGCTGGACGGGCACACGTCCTTTCCCAGCTCTGGGAGCGCCACCCAGACACTGGGCAAATCTAACTGCTCTAGGGTCCTCTTGCTCTCCAAGCCCAGCACTTAGAAAAGCTTTCCAAGAGCTAAGAAAGGATTTATGAAGTACCAAGTTTCTCATTTATTTATTACAGTAACAAAACTGCCAATCAGCATAAGCTGTTCTTCAGTTAGTGTAAGAAACCCCTACGATCCCATGGGTTCTACCTGTCTACATGCCACTCAGTAAGTGCATCATTTCCGATAGGGAAGGTCATTACTGAGCTCCTTTACTCTTTTGAGGCTTTCATCAACCCTGCGATCTGCTTGGGACCCCTTGCAGCCCCTCTGCTGCAGTCCTAATCTTCCGTGATTCCGGTGTCTTACATGGAAAAATAAACACAGACAGCTCTGTTTAAAAGCAGATAACCCCTTTTAAGTTGAATTTTCAATAAATAAAAGTTAGGCTTCTACCTGAAAGGATGGTGGGAAAAGGTGGGGGTGGGGGGGAGGAAGAAAACAACTTTTCAACACAAAGAGATTGGGAATTATAATTTTAGAAGTCAGTCCTGACCCTAACCATAGAAAGCTGTTTTCTAGCACACTGCTAAAATCAAATGTAAGTATGAACTTGACAAATAATGACATAAAAGCACTGTCACTGGCTCCAAACCACAGCGGGTCACCAAGTAAGCATGAAACCCCTGCAGGCTATAACATTCGATCCAGGAGACACGGTGACCACTCAGCTAGTCCAGCCTCTCAATTCCTCTTTCTAGAACGAGAGAATAGAGGTCCAAAGTGGGGGACTAGCGGGAGGGCGAGGCAGGGCTCTGGGACTAATGTGTGCCTTTCAAGGTGAGGATTTAGGATCTCTCTGAGCTAAATCCATCACATCTTGTTTCCCATGGGTAACCTAAAGTTTCTTCACTATAACAGAGCAAACAAAATTAAAAATCTGGGATGAAACACAAGCAAATTCTAACAAAATTCCACAAACATCTGCTGATCTTCAAAACCCACCTGACTTCCGATTGACCTGGTTCTGGGGAATGATGATCTGGCAGGAGTTGGCATCATTGGTGTTCTTGATGGGGTGGCTGAGGATGCAGATAACTCTGATCACCTGGCCTACTTTTTCTACCCGGTCTTTGACGTAGCTGGGATCACAGATGAGCTGCTTACAGCGAGCAACCTGTACCCAAACATTTAAGTCCCATAACAATCCTGTCCGCAGTTTTTCGACAGAATACTGATGCCATTGTCCCTTTAATATCATCTGTTACCTTCATAAGGTTAACTATGAGTTATTATTGAACTACAGATAAAACTAGTTTTGCCAACAATCCCAACAAATTCTCCTGGAAAAGACCCATGAATTGTAAGTCCTATTCAAGTATTTGGGAACCTGGTGCACAGTGTTTAGAAGTTACATGTTTTAGAATCGGGCAGACAGGTTTCAAATCCTGGCCGTACCCAGCGTCAAACGGTCGCTGCTAGGATTAAATGAAATACTGTATTTAAGGGCTGTCATACGCGACTGTGCCCGGTAAGAAGTGAATGTTCTGTGATCTGAGAGGAAGAAGCCGTGGGAAACAAAAATGAGAGGACACGAGAGGACACTGCACTGAAAAGGACTCTGAGGTACGGATGAACTCCTCCCCATTTGTCCCTATTCCCCAAAACCCATTCTGCTAGAAGCACAAGGCAGATACGAGGATCTACAGTAATAAAAGTTCGTTCAGATGGCCAACCAGCAGGTGCAGGTTATATGGACCTAACCCATGGAATGCCGTCAGGAACACCAAATATTTTTCTATCCTCAGCTACTGAGCAGTTCTACCTATCTGTAAGAGTTGTTATTTCATAAATAGGAATGAGCCGATTGGCAGACCCACAGCATCAGCCTCACCTGAGAGCTCACAAGGAAATGCAGACCTACTGATTCTGAATAAACACGTTAACAAGGTTAACATAGACATATATTCAACTCGAATTTGAGAAACACTACCTGAAACTCCACCTAGCGAGCTCCACAGCTAAAACCCAAATTAAATAATAAAATGCTCAGTATTTCCCAAACCCAAATTCAACCAATAAATTAAAAATGGTATAAATACAGCTAAATTTAAATGAAAATTCAGGAGACAGGCACCAACCTACACTATGTAAACACAGAACACGCACCACTAAGACTTCATCCATAATGTGTTCAAGGGTCTTAAGCAATAATCAACAAGTAATAAGATTTTTTTTTTAAATGAAGCACAGCGTCTTTAGCTAGTCCTTAGTCATTACAAATACCAACTTGCCATAAACAAACCATATAATCTGAAATCCAGCATCAATGCCCACACCACATTACATGAGGCAACATTTTCTTCACAAGAACATATTATTTTTAAATTGTAAAAGCTACTTACCTCTCCTTCAGATTTCACACCAATCACTTTTCCATTCTGCACAATGATTTCTTCAATGGGTTTATTGAGCATGTAGGTACCACCATAAATAGCACTTAGCCTGAAAAAATTTTTGAGATGACAAGAATTTATAATTGTGTCAACTACTAAAGTCTTTCTTAGATCTTGAGTTACAGGCAATGTGTATTTGCTCAATTTCCTTCTAGAAGGCGTTAGTTTAAAAGTCATTAAAGCTACAGTGATAAAGAGTCAAAACCATGAAACGAAGTCTCACATTCACAGTTCTGAATAGCAAGTCCAAAAAAGGCACAGACGAGTGATAGGCGAACAGCTTATGTCGGTCTAATCCTCCTGCATATAAATAAAACTGAACTACAAAAATAAATAAATAATAAAAATACCTAATCCGGAGGCTCTGCAGAGTGACTAAGAATAGACACTGGAGAAGAGACTTGGAAGGAACGAGTGAGCTGTGTGCGGCTTCTACGGCTCGCCCCCTGAAGGAACCACTTCCCTGGTCCTTGTAACAGGAGCCCCTTGAACAGAAGCAGCAAGCCCGCAGTCTTGCTGATTCAAGGAGCCAGAGGACAGAATTTGGGGCTGTCAAAGGAGATGAAAATGGGGGGGGGGGTATGCTACAAAAAGGGGAGCCACCAAATCTATAAAATCTCTTCAAATCCTTAACGAGCTCCAGGAAGGGCTCGTACCCGAGAGAGATTCCAAGCAATCCAGCAAAAAGCAACAGATAAAGGGGGCCAGGAGCTGAGCAGAGGTTAGAGCCGAGGGCCTTAGGGACAAACGGGTCCGAAACTGCTGCGTTACACAACCCGGTACACACCTTGAGCTTTCCCCGGAAGCCCCAGGAGCGTCTCACCTCACCGGACCAGGACTAAGGATTCAGCCAAAACAAAAACTGCCCTCCCTAAAGGGTAAAGTCAAACCTCCAAAAGTTCCAGGTGAGTGGCCAATGACTTAACTGCCGACTCCAACAAAAATCACCCCCCAGAGAAAGAACCCAGCATCTCTACAATGTACCAAAAACGTGTCCTGTATAAAGTCAGATATTACTAGGCCTGCAAAGAAACAAGAAATGTGATTCAAAGTAAAGATTCGGGAAAAGCAATCGATACAAACAGGTACCCCGATTACCGATGTTATAAATCACAGGGATATCTGAGGACAGACATCCTCATTCAAACACAGATGTTCAAGAACATATTATTATAAATATATTCAGTGGGGTCAAAATGAGTAAACCATCTCAAAAAAACTGTATTTAAAAAACTGGAAGTTCTACATGTAGAAAGTACAGTACCAGAAAAAAAAAGTTAAAACTCACGGAACGGGATTAGAGCCTTTTGGGAATAGAAAAAGGAGTCCGTGAACTTGAAGACAAATCAATAGGCATTATCCAATATAGAAGCATGGAGAGACCAAAAGACAAAAAAAAAAGTGAAAAGAGCCTCAGTGTCTACAGAATAATACCCAGCATCCAACATGCACAGAATTGTCCCAGAGGGAGGACAGAGAAAATGGGATGAAACATCTGAAGAGGATAATGATTTTAAAATTCCCAATTTGACATAAACAACTTACACATCCAAGCAGTTCAGTGAAGCCCAAGCAAAACCACAGAGGCAAATCCTAGTGAGACTGCCCAAAACCAAAGAGAATCTTGAAAGCAGCCAGAGGGGGGAAAAAAAAAGAGCCACTCCGCACGCGGGGACGGCTGTGACTGACTGAATGCCGGCTCACTTCTCCTCGGAAACAAAGCAGACACAAGGGAGGGGACAGCAGCTGGAAAGCGCTGCATGAAAACATCTCAAGCCAACAAAAGTCCTTTAAAAACGAAGCTGACAGAACCCGTCACCAGCAGACCCAGAACTACAAGAACGCCACGGGAGAGCTGAAGAGAAATGTCACCAGACAGAAACAAGGATTTATAAGAAAGAAGAGCAACAAACACGGTACCGTGGGAAAATGGTTACTTTTCCTTCTCTGTTCTCTTCAGTTCACTGAACTGATTGTTCAGTGCAGAATTATAACACTCTGCACTGTGGAGTTGATTAAAGTACATAGATGTAAAACAGGCAACAGCACAAAGGAGAATGAGAAATGTAAAGAAAATGTTGCAGAGTGCTGCTTATATATGTAAAGTATTTAGCACAATATTAACTCCAAAGAAATTGATAAAGGATGCATACTATAATTTGCAGAGCACTAAAAAATTAAAAATAGAAAGGCATGGCTACAAAGCCACTAGAGGAATTAGTCTGGAATCGTAAAAAATATTTGATTAATCCGAAAAGAGAAAAGAGGAACAGAAAGGGAAGAGAAACGGGGGGGCGGGGGTTGGGGGGACAAAAAACATGACAACAGATCTAATCCCAACCGTATCAATAATTATACTAAATCTGTATGAGCTAAACAATCCCATTAAAGGCCAAGGTTGTCACACTGGATAAAAAAGCAAAATTCAACCATATGCTGTCTACAAAAGACTCACTTAAATATAAAAACAAAAATAAAAGTAAAAGCATGGAAAAAAATACAAAAGAGTAAGCAAGCTGGTAAGGTTGTACTTACTATCAAAGAAAGAAAGTGGAAAGGAGTATCACCTGGTAAAAGAGCTTTAAATGTATGAAGTACACACTGACAGGGCTAAACTGAGAAACTGGTAACTCCACGGTGGAAGATGCTCCCTCAGTAACAGAACTGGAAAAAGAATCTGTACGAACACACACATGAACGACTCTATCAGCCCCCTTTACAGAGCGCTGCACCCAACACATGCAGGATGTATGTTCTCTGCAAGGGCATAGTCAGTCACTAAAACAGACCCTTGATTTGACCATAAACTATGGGGCCCCTGGGTGGCTCAGTCGGTTAAGTTCCTAACTCTTGATTTCGGCTCAGGTCGTGATCTCAGGGTCCTGAGATTGAGCCCTGCGGAGGGCTCCACACTCAGTGGGGAGTCTGCCTGAGTCCCCTCTACCCCTCTCTGCCCCTCCCCCCACCTTTGTGTGCATTCTCTAAAATAATCTTTAAAAAAAAATATTTGACCATAAATTACGCCTTAATTTCAAAGATTAAAATCTTGCAAGTTTGTTCTCTGATCATGGAATCAAATCAGATATCAGTAACAATAGGATATTTAGGAACATCTCCAAATGTTTAGCAATTAAACACTACACCTTCAAAAAACCAAAGGATTAAAGAAGAAGAAAAAAAAAAAACCCCAGAAGAGACAGGGTACCATAGTGAATGATACGTATTTAGAGAGAAATTTTAAACCTTTTAAGTCCCATGTTAGAGACAGAAAGTAAAATCAATGATCTGTTTCACCTTTAGAAACCTAGAAGAAGGGGCGCCTGGGTGGCTCAGTCATTAAGCATCTGCCTTCGGCTCAGGTCATGATCCTGGAGTCCCAGGATCAAGTCCCGCATTGGGCTCCCTGCCAGCAGGAAGCCTGCTTCTCCCTCTCCCACTCCCCCTGCTTGTGTTCCCTCTCTTTCTGTCAAATGGATAAATAAAATCTTTAAAAAAAAAAAAAAAAAGAAACCTAGAAAATTAAACCCATGTAGGAAGAAGAAATTAAGAAAGAACAAAATCAATAAAATAGAAAATAAGCTACAGAGTAAATAAAACTAAGAATTTGGTACTTTGAAAAGATTAATAAAATTGATAAAATCCTACCAAAAAATGAGAAAATATGAATGACCAATCACAACAATGAAGGTAGGAGCTTCACTACAGATCCTAGACACTGAAAGGATAATAAAAAAAAAATATTATGGGGTGCCTGGGTGGCTCAGTCAGTTAAGTGTCTGCCTTCAGCTCAGGGGTCGTTATGATCCAGGGGTCCTGGGATCAAGTCCCACGTCAGGCTCCTTGCTCGGTGGGGAGAAGTCTGCTTCTCCCTCTGCCCCCTGCCCCCGCCTGTGTGCTCTTGCTCTCAAATAAAATCTTTTAAAATATATATATATATTATGGACAACTTGATTATCAGAAAATTCAAGAACTTATGTGAAATGGTCAAATTTCTTATAAAACACAACAGATGAAATAAATGGGACACCTGAGTAGCCTGATTTCTAATTCATGTGTGTGTGTACACACACTCGCGCACGCAAATTACATCCAACAATAAAATAAAAGGAAAATACATCATGAATAAGTGTTGTTTACCCTGGGAATGCAAGGCCAGTTTAATATCCAAAAATCAATCTATAGTTCACCATAGCAGTAGCATAAAGAAGAAAATCTGCATTATTAATGTCAACACCCATTCATAAGAAAACTCCCAGCAAGCCAAGAAGAAGAAGGAATTCATTCCAACAAAGCCATCTACAAAAACTCTATTAAAAAACGTTTAGTAATAAAGAATGTCCATGCTCAACAGCAAACAACTTTACAATAAAACTGAGACAGTTTCATTAACAGCAACATCTGAATAGCATAAAATACTTGTGAATAAATGTGAACTAGGTGCTAGATCCCTACAATGAAAGCTTCAAAGCACTGCTAAGACAAAGAACACCTAAGTCCATGGAGAGAGCAGCACATTCATGGGTTGGAAAACTATTTTACTAAGATACTTCTCCCCCAAACTGATCTATACATTTAAACTCAATCCCAGTCAAAACCCCAGCATTTGTCCTAGAAACTGACAAGCTGTTCTAAAATGTATATGGATATGGAAATGCAAAGGATCTGGAAGAGCCAAAACAATTTTGAAAAAGAACAAAACTGGAGTTTTCATTACTTGATTTCAAGACATAATGTAAAACTAGAATAATCAGGGGGCGCCTGACTGGCTCAGTCGGTGCAGCACCTGACTCCTGATCTGGGGGTTTGGAGTTTGAGCCCCATGCTGGATGTAGAGATTACTTAAAAATTTTTTAAAAAGTCCTTAAGGAGCATGTGGGTGGCTCAGTCGGTGAAGCATCTGCCTTTGGCTCAGGTCATGGTCCTGGGATCGAGCCCCGCATCGGGCTCCCTGCTCAGCGGGAAGCCTGCTTCTCGTGTTCCTGCTCTTGCTATCTCTCTGTCAAATAAATAAATAAAATCTTTAAAAAAAAAAACAAAACAAAAAACTAGAATATTCGGGATGCTAAGGTAATGGCATAAGAAAAATAAACTAATGGAACAAAACAGATACATATCTATGGCCAACTGATTTCCCACAAAGGCACCAACACAACTGGAAAATAAAGTCTTTTCAGCGACGGTGCCAGAAGAACTAAATCCGGGCACAGAAAAAAATGAACTTCAAGCCCTACCTCACCTCACACACCAACATTATTTCACAATGAATTATAAATTTAAACACAAAGCCAAAACTGAAGTTTCTAGAAAAAGACACTGGAGACTATCTTTGTGCTCTTGAGGCATGCAAAGCTTTCTTAGATAGGACCCAATAAGCACTAAACATAACTAAAAAACTTGATATATTATCAAAATTTAAAACTTTCACTGATCAGGCGACAAGGCACACACCGGGAGAAAACATCTATAATACATATATCTGACAAAAGACCTGCCGCCAGCATTCAAGATCTCCTACAAATCCAAACCAGAAAAGACAACCCAATCTTTAAAAACGTGTAAAGACATCAACAATCACATCACAAACTCATACAAATGGCCAAAAAGCTCATGGAAAGGTGATCAACATGAGTTCTCAGGACATGCAAGGTCAAGCCAGAGTGAGAGAGCATGTCACACCTCCTCGGGTGATGAGAATCAGGAAGACTGACAGCACTGCAACAAGGCGGGGGAGCAGCCCGCGGAGCAGTGGGGACCCCCCCGGCCCCCCGACCACGGCGGGGCTGGCAGGCGGCACCACCACCCCGCAGGGCTGCTTGGCGGGGTTTCCTGAGCGCACCCCTCTATCCTCCGTAGCAGCCAGCGGTCCTGGCCCTGCATATTTACCAGTGAGAAACGACGGCCTATGTCCACAGAGACTTTCAGTACTTGCACTCCCAGGAGCCCAACCTGGAAACCGCCCGGATGTCCAGCAACAGGAAACTGTGGTCCATGTGCAAAGGGAAAACCACTCCATATTTTTAAAATGAACCACAGTACATGCAGCCACATAAATGAATCTCAAACATATCGTTAAACAAAAGCCAGCCACAAATGAGTCCACTTCGTCTTATTCCTTTTATATGAACTTCCTGAACATGCACGAGGAATCTACGGTGAAAGAAGTCACAGATGGGGCTGCGGGGGGTGGGGGGGGGAGGTGATCATGAGGTGACACAAGGGAGCTTCCCAGACTAAACGATTTCTTCTCTTGATTGCAGCGTTGGTTACACAGGTCTGTACACTTATGAAACAACTTTTTACTGTAGATCTGTGGTTTCATCATAAAGTTTATTTCAATAAAAAGAAAAGCACCTCACGGCTCACAGACCTTTCACCATTCCCAGCCCCGTGGCCTGTACTTGCACTGAAGGAGACCAGGTTAGCGATGGGCACTGACCTTGCAAATCCCTGTGGCAGCTCTCCGAGGCCGTAGAGTGGGTAAAGGTACGGGCTTTTGCCATATCTTGCCAGAGACTCACTGTAAAGTTTAATCCTGTTAATGGTTTCACAACATGGCTGATCTAGATAGCTAAAATAAGGGAAATAAGTATTAGGAAATAAATATTTAAAATGTTTTTCTGAAAAGATTTTATTTCACTACTTTCATATTTTACCTAAAAAGTTCTAACACTAATTAACAGCTGGAACCTTTCATAATATAACATGGTTATCTACTTGTTTTGTTAGAACTTCCATTTTGGAGAACTGAGAAATTCGGTGACAGTTCCAAGAAAAATATAAATCTAAAACCCGAAACACTTACTCATCGGTTCTGTAAAGTGCCAGGGCATGGCCAGTAAAATCTATGACATCTTGTCCCAAGTCAAATTTCTTGTACACCTCTCGCATTGCAGTCTTCTTAGGATCGATGCCCTCAAAAGTTCTGGGATCTTTCTCATCAAAGTTGGCAACATACACTAGGAATTTTCTGAAGCGACGTTTTTCAAACAGTCCCATTAAGCCTAAAGAATGTGTCAAAAAGCAAACATTCACACTAGGACACTGTGGAAAAGACAGTGTGAGAGGCAAGGTTAAATGTGCCACATTATGACCTGAGGCTCCTCTAAGGAAGTGTGCAGCCTAAGACAGAGGCTCGTACACAGTATGGCTTCCGCCTTCACTGCGCTTTCCGATAAACCAACATAATTACAACAGATCAGTTATTAAGTCTTCAATTCTACAATCACAAGTAATTACAACCAGTACTTAATTAAATGTAATACGTTTAATTATGTCTCTTATTACGAACAAGGTGAATATGACTTTGAAAAAACTATTATTCACGACAGCATCCACCTGAATGTTCTTCTTTTGACAACTCTGATCTATACTCATCCAACTGCCTAAAATTCTGAATGCTCCTCCTTTCTCTGTGTGCTAACATTCACTCCAGCTTTTCACAGAAAAGATGATTATGCTGCCGGTCACTTACTTTAATAAAGTCCTAGATAATCAGTTAACCACTTTTTACACTAAAAAAAGCTAGGGAGACAGGTATAAACTACTTCATAAACCCTCAGCTCTCTTACTGGTCAGCAGTCCTACTGGAGTATACAGCTGCTAGGAAGACAAGGCCAAAGAGAAAAAATGTTCTGGCTCTATCCCCTTTCCTAAACTATGTGACTACTTTAAAAACAACAAACTCTCACGGAACAGTGTAATGGTTTAATATTTTGAATATTATTTCCCCCAAGACTATAGTTGAAATCAACAAAACTGAAAATTAAAATGATCATGAGGCCACTAATGATATCTAACTACACTTAACATGTTTAAATTATATTTACAACCTGGCTTAAAAAAATGGGACGGGGGCACCTGGCTAGCGCAGCTGGTAGAGCCTGGGACTCTTGATCTCAGGGTCATGAGTTCAAGCCCACACTGGGCATGGAGCTTACTTTAAAAGGATGAATGAATGCATGCATGCATGAAAAAATAATTTTTAAAAAATTTAAAAATTTAAAAATGGACAGAATGCGTACACAGTAATGGTACAAGGCTAAAAAAAAAAAAAATTCTATGACCACACAAGCACCAACTTATGTTTAGTTGTCAGGGGTAAAAATAAGACCACCAATATAATACAGTTCAATTTTCAACTACTTCCCTCTGACAAGGCCTTCCCTGATCGCCCTATTTAAAACTGTGCCCCCCACCTCCCTTCACCTCTCCACACAGCATTATCATCATCTCATATACTCTTCCATATTTATAGCCTGTCTCCCACTAATTTAAGCTCGAGAACAAAAAGCATTTTTTGTTTACTTTCCCCTTCTGCTGAACCCGCCCTACCCCAAACCTAGAAGGGTACGTGGCACGTAACACGTACTCCATGTCCAATTCACATGCTGTCTGATGCAAGCAAATAGAAGTTATCCACATACTGGATATACAATATAGAAAGAAAAACGTTCAACTATATGATAAAAGGGTTAGAAAAAAATCTTTTTCCAGATTACTCAGTTTCCTGAGTAGTATCTTAACATCATTTCGAATGTTGTTTTACTTTCCTTCCTTCACTTGCACACTGAGGTTTATTTACCAAAAAAAATACTTAGGTCAAGACATTTAAAACATTGAAAGTTACAAAATCCAGAGCGGTTTCATGAAGAGAATAAATGAAAGCTTTCAATAGATATAAGATTTGACCATGGAGAATGGGAAGAATACTGCTAAAATGTCCATACTTACCCAAAGCAATCTACAGATTCATTGTGATCCCTATCAAAATACCAACAGCATTTTTCACAGAACTAGAATAATACTAAAATTTGTACTGAACCACAAAAGACCCTCCTGAAAAGCCAGAGTAACCTTGAGAAAGAAGAATAGAGCTGACAGTATCACCATCCCAGATTTTAAGACTTAACGACAAAACTGGACTGATCAAAACAGTCTGGTACTGTTACAAAGAGAGACCCACCTGCATGAGCAACTGATCTACGACAAAGGAAGCAAGGCTATCCAGTGGGGAAAAGACGGTCTCTTCAACAAATGGCGCTGGGAACACTGGATAGCCACATGCACACCACACACCATACACAAAAATAAACTCACAATGGATTAAAGATCTAAATGTAGACAGGAAACCATAAAACACCTAGGAGAAAAGACGGGCAGTGATTTCTCTGACATCCGCCACAGCAACAGTCTTCTATATGTTGGACTACACCAAAATAAACAGCTTTTACCCAGGAAAGGAAACCATCAATGAAACAGAAAGGTAGCCTATGGAATGGGAGAAAATATTTGCATATGATACATCTGATAACGGGCTAAATCCAAAATACATAAAGAACTTAACTTACACAACTCAACATCAAAAAAAAAAAAAAATCTGATAAAAAATGGGCAGAGGAACTGAAGAGAACTTTTTCTATTTCAGAGGACAGACACAAGAGAAGATGCCCCAAATCACTCATCATCAGGGAAATGCAAATCAAAACTGCAATGAGATCTTGCCATTTGTGACAACATGGATGGACCTAGAGAGTATTATGCTAAGTGAAATAAGAAAAAAAAAATACCATACGATTTCACAAGTAGACTATAAAAACACAATAAATGAATAAACAAACTTACAAAAAACAGAAACAGACCCATAAATACAGAAAACAAACTGATGGATGTCAGGGGTGGAGGGATGGGAGGCTGGGCAGAATGGGTGAAGGGGAGAGGGAGGCCCGGGCCTCCAGTCCCGGCATGAATACGTCACAGGGATGAAAGGTCAGTGCAGGGAATATAGTCAGAGGTCCCGTACCAGCCCTGTGTGGTGACAGACGGCAGCTACACTTGGCAGCGAGCAGGGCACAGACTTGTTGAACCACCACGTTGAACACCCGAAACTAATGGAACATTGTGTGTCAACCATACTTCTATTTAAAAAAAAAAAAAAAATTGACCACAGCATTAAAAAAAAAAGTGAGAGTGGAAATCAGTGTCAAACACTCCTGAAGTACAGTACCCAGTACACAACCTGCCAGTGGACCTAACTGACCTAATCCAGCTGCTTCAGGCCGCCCCGGCCTGGAGGTCACTCAGCTCTGCACCAGGAAACGTGATTCGCTGCTGGCAAAGGTGTGTGACATAAACAGGGCTCCCCGCAGTTAAGAGTGAGAATAAACAAACAAGCTAGAGATTTAAATTACGACAGAAGAATTTGGACACATTTCAAAGCCATTCAGGAAAACTTCTCAAAACAATTCTGAACATAATCCATGTTCAACATGACTTGAGGGGGTCAAAGATACTTCTCACTGATTTGATTAAAATAACGCTTGACCAATCACCAAATATTTACTGGAACCTTGAGGTTTCACATGAACTGCCCCAAGAACCAACAGTGAGTACAGCTCCTAAAAAAGCCAATGTAACCTTAGGCCACATGAACAGAAATATACCGTCCTAGAAAAGTTCTAGTCTCGGGGCACCTGGGTGGCTCAGTCGTTAAGCGTCTGCCTTCAGCTCGGGTCATGATCTCGGGGTCCTGGGATCGAGCCCCACATCGGGCTCCTTGCTCAGCGGGAGGCCTGCTTCTCCCTCTCCCACTCCCCCTGCTTGTGTTCTTGCTCTCACTGTGTCTCTCTCTGTCAAAGAAATAAATAAAATCTTAAAAAAAAAAAAAAAAGTTCTAGTCTCACTGAGACTAAGTGAGCAGACAACACTTGGAGTACTTTGTCTAGGTTGGCAGCTGGCTCCCACGGTATTGTAAATTGGATAATCTGGACAAATCAGAATTCCCAGAGAAAAGTGGCATATTATGTAAGAAACAACTATGGGATGGAAGCTAGAAATGTTTAGTATTAAAAACAACAAAAAAAAAGAACTAGAAGGTATAGTTGTTAAAATAGCTTTTAAAAATCTGTATTTTTATACTATACAATTTAGAGGTTACGAGTACAGGGTTCTAGAGTCAAACAAATCTGGCCTCAAACCAGTTCTATCAGTCATGAGCTTTGCTACTTTGGGCTTTGCTTTTATACTTGTATACTTCAGTTTTCCCATCTATAAACTAAAGATACTAGTACCCACATCTCAGAGAGACAGCGAAGGGTAGAGAATACCCATAAAGGCCTTAGTACATACACGCCTGCACATACTGTCCAAAAAATGTTAGCTATTATTAAAATTATAAAACAACTGTTCTTGTTCATCCTTCTGAACCTCTCCACTTCTACACCTTTCCCTACCCGTTCATTCTGCCGAGGATTTTCCGGCCTGACATTCTGACTTCAAGATCTTATTCATTAGTAGAAAACCAGTTGCCGAGAAGACAGGGATCTGGTAAAAATTCATACAACTGTATACTAAAACAGGTAAATTCTAGTGTATGTAAATCATACCTTTCAACATTTTCTCCCCTGATAGCAAGAAGGAAATAAATGGAGTTAGAGAAGCTGCCAAAGTAATTCAAATCAGGTTTTTAGGTGAGAGAACTTTCCCACACTCAAGCCAAAATAATCCCTGAGAATTTACTGGCACTTCTCCCAATCCAAACAGCTCCCTCCCCTAAACTCCTGGAGCATTTACTGTAGAAAACTCATCCACCCATTAGCTATCCATATTCTCCTTTCTCAAACTGCTCTGCGCAAACAACTCAAACACCTTCAAGGAGAGAAGGTCTTTTTTAGGGATGTTTGCTATTGAAAAGAGGTAGGAATAGAAAATGTTAACCAGGAATCTCTGGTTGAGCCAAGAGAGGAAATCATTTTGGGCAAAGAATAAAATCACTCCACACTCACTGGGAATTCCTAAAAACAGATTTCAGAGAATGACAACAGCAACAATTAGAAGATCAGTTTTGCCAGAACAAAGTTCTTTCTTTTTTGGCGGGTTGGATAATAAGATGCAGGTGGTCAGCTCAGTACAGTGATGGAAGGACACAGGAGCTGGAGTAAATACCACCAGAGGTTCAGCTCTAACCTTCCTACTTACGTAACTATGTGATCTCAGGCCTCCGTTCCCTCATCTATAAAATGGAAACCCTACCCTGTGAAGGTGCTTCAAAAGTCAAAAAACAAAATGAACGTGAAGTGTTTAGCCCAGAGCCTAGCACACAGGAAACCCCCCAAAAAAACAATAACTCTTGTGAGTTATCATTAGTATGAAAAAGAACACTAGCTGACCCACACCAGCACCAAGTTCCATGAGCTAGAGACAAGCCACTTAAACCCTCTCTGAGCTTCAGAGGTAGGGGTTTTTGAACATTTTCTTCAATGATGTACTCTCAACTGCCCAGAACAGACATTCAATAAATATTGTTGACTGGATGAGTGGACAGATGGCTGTCAAGACAGGGGACAGTAAACGTGATCTCTAAGATTCCTTTCCACTGTAAAATCTCAATGTTGTGAGAAATAAAATAAAATTACTTACTAGATGCCAGGGCTTCTGCTTCAGTGGAAGGAACCTTGTAGATTTTTCCTCCCTTATAGACAAAGCTCCCTTCAGTCACTTTGAAATCCAGATAGCGAGTGACCTCTGTATAAAGCAGCATCTTAACCAGCTGACCTAAAAAAGTCCCAAAATTCAAACTATAAGTTAAGTCTTACTACCTTCAAAAACCAGCAGAAATAAAAGTACATTTATTGTTGGCTTATAATAATAGCTTCCCAGTTTTTTCTAACATTGTCCAACAACCCCTACCAAAAAGTCTCAAATGCCATGTTCTAAATGGGACAATCAGAATGCATACCTATTGCTGAGCATATTTAGAAGTATGTTTTTAATGTTACAACTCCAAGATTAATAACTTCATCAACTTGCTTTTGTAAAATCTGTATTAATAATTATTAGAGGTATGAAGTTTAGAATTATAGTACTACTGCAAATGGGTTTGAATTTCCTTTAAGTTCCTATTATAAAGAGAGGCAACTAATAGGCAAAAATCTTCAAGAATTTGTGTTATGCAGTTTATATTATTCAATCTGCACTAATTAAATGAATATTAATTTCATGGGCGCCTGGGTGACTCAGTCAGTTGAGCATCCGACTCTTCATTTCGGCTCAGGTCACTATCTCAGAGTCATGAGATGAAGCCCCGCCGCGGGCTCCAGGCTGTGCATGGAGCCTGCTTGGGATTCTCTTTCCCTCTCCCCCTCCCTCTCTAAAATAAATAAATAAATCTTTAAAAAAATAAATATAGGGGTGCCTGGGTGGCTCAGTCGTTAAGCGTCTGCCTTTGGCTCAGGTCATGATCCCAGGGTCCTGGGATCAAGCCCCGCATTGTGCTCCCTGCTC